GTAACTAGGCATGTATGGCAAGATTCAAAAAATCAATTGCTAGATGACCTAAACAAAGAATAAAATAACTTGAAACCAACACACTTTTTCACACGTGCACCTCTAGGGTAACCTCGCTTGTTGCCTCGGAAATACAATCATGTCCCTCGAATATGAGACACTCTAGCAATGAACCTTCGATAAACAAAGATCGTAGTCCCTCGATGACCCTCAATGTTGCCTTCGATTAAAACGATCGCGTCCCTTACAAAAATTGCTAAAGCGTTTCACAAGTTGTCTTCAATGATTATAAAATTGACCCGCGCCTGTCCCTTCACATCCAAATAGTGGGGCTTCTTACCAAATCAATGGTAAGATGTCACCATTAAAAGGAGGAAGAAAAGAACAACTTAAGACCTTTCGAGTAGATAGATTCGCTCTTAGTTACTCGCTTGCTCACGACAAAAACTTTTACACCTACACCTCCATTGCAAAACATTTTCAAAAGACAAAAAGTTTTGTATACGTTCTTATAGAGACGAGAACCATTGCAAAACCTCTTTTCAAAACACTTTTCGAAACACGATTCACAAACGCATATTTGAACCACTTTTCGAAACAAAACTTTGTATACGTTCTTATAGAGACGAGAACCATTACAAAGAGATTTTTCAAAATACTTTCAAAGCCCACACCACAAGCACACAATCAAATGAAAGCAAGTGATCTAAAACGAGTAACTAAGAGCCCATGGAAAACCATGGATGAAAAGGGTGCTAATACCTTCCCTTTTCATAATCTACCCCCGAACCCGAGAAAATTCTCGAAAGGTCTTTCCTGTGCTTTTTTACCTTTCCTTTTGGATAAAAGAAAATTCGGTGGCGACTCTTGCTAACCGCATAAGTGCGAACGAAACGCAAAACCTCGAGTCAGTTCTCCCACCGTATCACACCTATTAGTTATTATCCATGAAAGGTTTGTCTTAAATAATTTTTAAATTCGTGTTATGGAGCAAGACTATGTTTGGTATGACATTTGTATGAAGATGTGACGCATTTTTATGGTTTTAATTTGTTTTATTTTCGTAAAAATACATGTGGGTTTAGAAGGGTGTTACATTCAAGGGGTACCAAATTTTGTGGTTGAGTGAGAACACACTACCATGAAATATAACACACGCGCGCCCGCTGCCATTCTGCCGACCGGCTCGGTCCAGTCTTAGGCTTAGGCTTTGATTCAATAGTTTTTTGGTACTCGGAATGATGAAAATTATTTAGGCCGTTAATGATATGAAATCATTATTGTGCAACAACTTTGATATGAAAGACCTCAGAGAAGCGAGCGTGATTTTTGGTATCAAGATCACAAGATCTGAGGAAGGAATTTCTTTGGATCAACCACACTATGTGGAAAAGCTCTTAAAGAAATATAATTACTTGGACTGTAAACTTGCGAGCACACCATACGATCCTAGCATGAAACTGTTTAAGAACACTGGTGAAAGTGTTAGACAAACAAAACATGCAAGCATCATTAGCAGTCTTAGGTATGCCACTGCTTGTAACTGACATTGCATATGTCGTTGGATTGTTGTGCAGTTTACTAGTAGACAGAGTAATGAGCATTGACAAGCTATTGATCGAGTCATGCGGTACCTTAAAAAGACTGAGAATCTTAGTTTGCATTATCAGAGATTTCCTACTATACTTGAAGGACACAATGATGGAAATTGGAATACCTTATCAGATGATTTCAAAGTGACTAGTGGCTATATATTCAATATATCTAGTGGAGTTGTATCTTGGAAATGAAAGAAACAGACTATCAAGGCTCAGTCTACAATGGAGTTTGAGATGATAGTATTAGCGATTGCTAGTGAATTAGAAAGTTGGTTAAGATGGTTGCTAGTTGATATTCTTTTATGGAAAAAACCTATGTCAGTTGTGTTGATCCATTGCAATAGTACCACGAGTTTTGCAAAAATTGAGAACCATTGTTATAATGACAAAAGAGGTCAAATTAGATTAAAACACAATATTGTTAGAGACTATATCTCTAAAGGAGTTGTAAGAGTTATCATGTATGCACTGATGAAAATTTAGCAGGTCCTTTGACGAAAGGTTTAGCTAGAGAGAAGGTCTATAATACATCCTATAAGATGAGACTAATGCCTATAGAAAATTGAGTTGCTCATGATGGTAGCCCGACCTAAATGATTGGAGACCCCAAGAAATATGTCCAATGGGTAATAACAAGTTATGAGTAATATGGGGTGATCATGCTAGAGTAAATGACACGAGCATGAATCATGAAGCAATGAGAGGATAAGATAATAAAAAACTCTTAATGAGATCTATACTCTGTATGAAGGAGTACCTAGGGTACATGAGTACTTTTGATAGACTCACTTATAGAATTGTGGAACTCAGGTCGGTTTCTATGGAGTTTTAAGGAAGAATTCCTAGAGCATCACTAAATTGGAATACACGTGCAGAGCCGTTAAAGCACGTGCTAAATACACCTTAAGACAAGGTTGTGTGTGAGTTTGATGTCTGAGATAGAGTTCAAGATATTTGTGTCATTGTTGTTGAATTAGAACCCTGCTTGCTACACAAAAGTTCAAGTCGTAGACACCTCTGCTTATGCACAATCTTATAAACATTTGACGTTATTTCTAAAATCACCTTTTAAATTCATGTGCGGGATTGTTGGAATTCTTGAAATGATGAAACTTTGGAGTGGGGACTTGGAAGAATTTATTGTCATTAATTGACAATAAATGAGCACAAATATAAGTAAATATGAATGCCGGTGAATTCGAAAAGAGATTCATTTTAGTCCCGCATAAGAAAAACAACACACATTAGTAGTGCATACATATGTCAAGTGGGAAAAATGGGTTGGGGCCCAAGGGTACTCAATTTTGTGGTTGAGTGAAAATACACTATCATAAAACTTAACTCACATGTCGTTGTTTGTCTGTTCTGGCTCGGCTTAGCTTGGTCTGGACTTGGGCTTGAGCTTTGATCCAATAATTTTTTGGTACTCAAAATGATGAAAATTATTTAATATTAATTAATTTTAATAATCGCGTGATGTAAATTAATTAATTATTAACTAATTTTTGGTGTGCTGTAATTAATTAATTAATTATTAATTAATTAGTTAATTATTAATTAATGACATTGTTTAACCTAACTATATAACTTGAGCGAAACTTCGCCCTGTCTTCCAAGCTTCCTCGCCTGACTTGCTGAGTAAGTAAAAAACAGAGTGATTACCTTGTTGATCAAGCTTGTAACGATTAGTAATGGGACGGTTTCGCTTCACTTTCTCCACAATTTTCTCTTCAACCGAGTCAGATCCTCAACTATAAATAACAACCTTTCCATCACTTATCCCTCACACCAAATTTCACAATCTAAAATCTCTCTCTTCTCTCTCGTATTCACTTCATCTAAGTTTTTCTTTTTCTGTTTTCAAGTGGCTTGCTTGCGCCATCTATGACTGGTTTTTCAGAGATTACGAATGGTTTCAACACCAATATCGAGTGATTTAACACCATCAGAAAGTATATTTCTAGAACGATCATATATTATGCAAGTAGTAATCGTATAATTGAACTAGACTGATTTATACTGAAGGCATCGTTCCGCACCAAAATGGGCATGAAACGTCTTAAAGAGAACAAACCGTTCTGAAACTCATCCCGAAAACTTCTTTTATGACTATTTTCAAAATACAAAAATAACATGTAAAAAAAAGAATGTGATTAATTTAGTTAATAGTAATGAATTCACCACCTATATGCATTAATTTTGTAAAACTATCCGTATAATTTCTATTCATCCCCACATTAGTGAGAAGTACATTTTTCATATGTAAAATAAAGATATTTTTGTACCAAAAAAAAATGTACCTCGAATAAAAAGGGACAAACAAATCTCACAAACACTCTTTGATTTAATAACGTTTCTAAACGAAATTGAGGGCAATGTGCTGAGCATAAAAGGATCAAAATGGTAGGAAAAATATGGAATATAAGTCATACTAAGTTCATTTGTTCATACAGACATCAGAAAACACAGTCCATTGATTTGTTTCATTCTTTATGAACATAACTATATCGAACATGTTCCCGAGCATTTTAAACCTCTGCAAAATGAGTTCAATTAAAAATCCAAGTACATTAAGCCTTGAATTTCAAATCAAACCCTTAATAATACAAACCAAGACTAAATGTCAGAATGAAGTACTGATAATCACAAAATCTCACTAGTTAAAATGGTGTTAGAAAAGGAAGGATAATTATCTAAATTTGAGAAAATATAACAAGACACTGAGGAATCATGCTAATACTATAACATCAAAAGACAGAATTCATTCCACTCCTCAATTTTCTTCTTAACAAAATGATAGAATTTGCTATTAGCGAATTTATTTTCATCACTTAACCTGCAAACTACACAGAACAAGACTCCCAACAACCTAAACCTACATAGCACTAAAACTTTGAATTAAAGACGTGTCACGTCTCCGATATCAACATATGTAGTTACATTAAATCGCCTCTATGCCTACTTGTTGGTGTCTGTTTCGTGTATGTGCTTTATATACTTAAACACTTCAAAATGGGACTAATTAAAATATCCAAACACATCAATCATGACATGGATTCCAAACAATACACCATTGACACGTCGACACCAGAAATATTTTGAAAAAATTAAATAGTTGAATGCATTTTCGTAAGTTGGTGCTACGTAAGTGTGTGACACTAACACATGTCAAACACCAAACACCGTGAATGTATTTCCATAGGTGGGTGCTTTGTAAGTGTCAGATACTAACACGTGCCGAACATCTTTTTCAACCTTAACCAAACAGAAGGCGTCTACAATACATAAACTAAAATTCTTATTGAAAATGAACAAAACTGTCAAAATACACCAGAAAAAAATGTTGACAACAAGGGCATAATCAGAACAATAGAAAATCAGGATTAAACCTGCAAACAGATATTAAACACCTTCCAATTTCTTCATCTTGGAAGGTGGCCAATTACCCTTCTTCCTCAACCTCCTCTTTTGAACAAGCCTCTTTCTCCTCAACCTTATCTTCTTGGCAAGCTTCATCTTCACCGTCTTCTCTTCCCTCTCTTTCAATTTCGATTCTAATGGAAGCTTGTCTACAGAAACAACACCACTCTCTTCCTTGCTCTCACTTCCTTCTACTACATCTGCAACATTAGAATCACCAGCAGCAGCAGCGGATGCAATAAAAATCGCATTTTTTCTCGGTTTCACAACAATGGGTGTCGAGATTCGAAGTTCCTTCGAACAGTTGGTGGGCAAACCGATTTGTACTCTAGAAACTGACACACACAAAAGTTCGAGAAAATTAAGATTACAGAAACAACAAAAACAATAATAATAACAATATGAGAATGTCTTTTGGAGAAATTAAGGAGAAGAGAGTGAATAATACTTACTAGGGCTTGCTGTGGGATGAGGGGAAATGGAGGAAGAAGATGAAAGAGGGGTGAGTGTGAAGGAATTGAAGCAGAGAAGTGCCATAGTGTTTTTTTTTTTTTTTTTCTTTTTCAAATGAAGAATTGGTTTATATGATGTTATGTTAAGGATAAGAAAGGCACATCACATGTGTGTCTTCTTCCATCTCCACCACTTACCACCTTCGCTAAGGAAATAATATTAATGATAATTTTTTGAAATTTATTTGTTAGGGTTAAATATTTAGATTATTAGAACATTGAGACCGAAATTGATTTTGAAATACTTTTTGGGAACGAGATGTTTATTGTTCATCAATGCATTATGATAGTAAAAAAGTCTTGTTATATTGGCTCATTAGTTGAAAGGGCGATTTTAACTCAAAGTTATAGATTTTTCATTATTTTAACTCAAAGAAGGTTTAATATATGTTTTAGTCTCTTAACTTAATTTTATGTTCTGTTTTAGTATTTTAATGAAAAAAACATTATAAATTAGTCTCTTAATTTCACACATATTATCCTATTTAATTATTTTCGTTAATTTCTGGCAAAAAAACATTGAGCTCTAGTGTCGTGAATGTTCAGCGAGACTTAAGATTTAAATGTAACTCAGCATTTGTACTATAAAGTAGTGTTTCTACTTAATATAGTCTTATGGTGGCCATCTTTGTGGCACCAACTTAAGGGGAAATTGTATTTTATTGTACAAGAACTTAGTGACATTTAGATTTTGAACCATGTTGTAAATCCACGTCACCAGAACTTAATGTTTTTTTCTTCTAAAAATTGACGGATGAAAGCAAATAAGATAACCGAAGTGAAGTTAACAAACTAATTTGTAATGTTTTTTAACTAAAGAATTCAAGCGAAATATTAAATTAAGTTAAAGACTCAAAAACTAAATATACCTTAAATGAAAGATTTGTCTTTTTTTTTAAATGATTTGGGTTAATTGGTTTTCAAAACTAAAGATCGGGTGAGAGTTTGTCATTTTAATTGAGTAAAGCCAATATGAAAGTTTTGTTATGAAAGAGATGTTGAAAAATGAAGTTTGGATTTTTGGTTACCTATATTTGTGATCTCATTGATAGTTGAAATAAAGATATTGAAATCATCCTAGGATATATTTGTTTGTGTGTCTGGATCATGTTATGTAGATTGATGTTGGATCATATCATTAATGTAAAAAGGAGGGAGGGGAATGTAGGTTATAATGTTATGGGATCAAGCATAAATGTTGTCATTAAAGGAAGATGGCATTTGCAACGAAAGCTCTGAGATCTTGAGAGCTGGCTAGGGAAGAAAGTTGGAAATCATAACGCGAAAGAGGATACTAAGTGATTCTACTATGCTAAAACAAGTTTAAATTTAAGGTCGAAGTAGAGCATTTCTCATAAATTAATTAACCTTTTTCATCAACTTGTCTTTATCTACTCAATAATTCTTAATATCACAATGGAAAGGCTTAAACTCAATGATAATGTTGGAATATGTTGAACTAACACGCCACTCTAGTACTTAAAGAGCTACTTGATATTTTCCTAGTTGATTCCTTACTGACTAACAAGTCCATCAGATTCCATGCTTTGAAGGAACGACTAGCCTCATTGTGGAAACTAGGTCAAACTGTGAACATTTCAGCCATAGATGAGAACCAATCTTTGTTCAGATTTTACCACCCTTGATACATTGAGATTGTGTACCAGGGAGGGCCAAGGTTTTTTGGTAACTTTATGTTTATCTGAAGTTTGGGGAGAAATCCCTTACGATAGTTATGAATGAAGCAAAAATCAAGGTTCAAGTCCATCACCTCCCATTCGATTTTATGGGAGAGGAAATATAAATTCTTATTAGTAAACATATTGGAAAATTCTTCAAATATGATAAACATAATAGATATGGTTCGTGAAGAAAATACATGAAGATTCAGGTGACAATCAATAGTCAAGAGTCATTCAAGAAAAACTAAACATTTTATCAGTGTGAAGATGGTTAGGTTCAGGCCCACTTTAAATATGAAAAGCTTGGAATTTTCTATTTTTTTGTGTGGCATTCTTGGCCACACCAAAACTTTTTTCCATAAGAAGTTTGTCATTACCAACACAAAATAGGACAAATGTTGGGGAATTTTTCTGAGAGTTGAATCAAACTCCTTGGGGGACGGTGGCATTTTGAAAAAGTGGTTGAGAGATTTTCAAACATAAGAAAACAATAGACATAATACTAGAAGTAATATGGGTGGATATACTAAGGCATTAATGAGGAAAGTGTAACAGAGGATCACCCCATTAAATCAAATATTTTGAATTATAATAATGATGATCTTATTTTGTATGGAATGGTGTTAATTGATCAAGATCTAGTTACAAAACATTTGATTTTTTTCAACCCTTTCCTGTAAGTTAATAGTTATGCATACTCCCCAACTCAGCACATGGCGAACTTATGTTTGGAGAAAGCTCAACCCCTTTGAATTCTTGTACAAGAAGTCTATCCCGTTGGAAGTAGGCTCAATTGTAGGATACCATCTTTGCATAAAATCTGACTACGTGCTAGCCATGAAAAAAATATCATATAGATAACTCGATTAATTATAATGTACAACACTCAAATGCATATCAAAGAATGATGTGTAAGGGATTGTGGGGATTCTACCTCACCTCAAATGTTTCATGAATCAACCACTCATGTTGGGAATGATTGCTAAATTATAAGAAGACTCGGTTTCAGACTCTTAAGACTATAAACCTATTAGTATCATAATACTGATACGCAGGTCCGACCCGATACATACGGAGGCCCGAGGTAAAAATAATAAAATGTGGCATTTAAAAAAAATTAATAATATAAATATCTTGCAGATGGACTAAAACCAACTATCTGTTAGGTACTAAAACTCACAATAACCACTAAGCTACATGCTAAATATTGCTTATTTTCAAAAACATGGTTAAATATTATTTATTTCATTAAATTTTTATAAAGCCCAAAATAAAATTGGGCCCCAAATGATTTAAGGCCCTTTGTTGTGGCTCTCCTTGCACATGTACATGGTCGACCCTTCTGGTAGCAACCAATAACACAAATAAATACACATACATGATAGCTTTTCACCTCACATCATCTAGCTCTCAATACGCCAACAGCCTAAAAGCCTCTAACAGTCCTTATCCACTAGGAGTTATCAAGCATTTGTACTTTTAGTGAGCACAATTGGCACCCGCTGTGAGACCCTGGTAATAATGGTACGAGCCACCCTCAATACATTCAACCATAGTATTGTCTTTGCGCTCATCCCATATCATGGTGAAAAAGAAGACATCTACTCCAGTCAACGAAGAGTCTGACAGTGAGGAAAGAGTCATAGTAGAGATGAACGCTGTTATGGACGATCTTCGTCACTAGAACCAAACCTTGGAAGATAACGTTCTTCATATTTTACAGATCTAGCAAGAAACAGACATGGCAGATGAACTAGAAGTGTTGGATCTCTATCCTCTATCAAACGAGATATGGAAGGAGTCCGTCCTAGAGAAATTTAAACCACCATCATTGGTAAGTTTGATGGGAATAATGACTCGTATGATCACATGGTTTCCATCAACACTTAAATGACCATCATTACGCTTTTGAAGTCCTTTCAAAAATTTGGTGGGCATACCGATTCATACTCTAGAAATTGACACACAATAAATTTGAGAAAATTAAGATTATAGAAACAACAATAAAAATAACAATAATAATGCCATGAGAGTATATTTTGGAGAAATTAAGGAGAAGATAGTAAATAATAATTACTTGGGCTTTTGTGGGATGAGGTAAAATGGAGGAAGAAGAGGTAAGAGGGTGAGTGTGAAGGAATTGAAGCAGAGAAATGCCTTAGTGTTTATCTTTTTCTATTTTTCAAATGAAGAAATGGTTTATATGATGTTTTGTTAAGAATAAGAAGGTAACACGTGTCTCTTCTTCCATTCCCACCATTGCTCTTGAAATAATATTATCCACAATATTTTTTTTAAATTTATTGTTGGGGTTAAATATTTAGAGTATTAGAACATTAAGACCAAATAAGAAAAATGGAGTATCTGGACATATCCTTCATACTCTTACCTACCTATCAAGACCTTAGCTTCTATACAATTCTAACTGAAAGTTGTAAATGTCGTACCCCAAATTTGTCCTACCTCGTTGATTTGATTTTTTAAGTTTAAAATAATAAAGAAATGTTCAATTAAGGATGGTATAACAATATCTGATGGCCCATTCTTAAAATTTAAGTCAGTCAGGGGTGTATCTTTAATTTAGGAAAGTGGGGCTTTCTAAATCAGAAAGACTCGTGTATCCGTGAATCCATTCGCGAGACATGTTGGCCATTGGCCCATACGATTCGTAAATGGAAATTAATAAAGTAATTGTAAATTTCCAAATTATTAAATGGTCGTTAGTAAAAGGGGAGGTGGAAATTTCGAATCAAAGATCCATTTCAGGTTGGCCCATTTTTATTTTAGGAATAGCAAAGAATAGGGGGTACAATTATAAAAGAGCAGGCCCATTAAACAATTTCTAGGTTAGCCCATTTGATGCTTTATTGTTTTAAGGGAAAATTATTAAAATTGAGTGTTATTATTTCAAAAAAATAATATATATATATATATATATATATATATATATATATATATATATATATATATATATATATATATATATATATATATATATATATATATATATATATATATATATATATATATATATATATATATATATATATATATATATATATATATATATATATATATATATATATATATATATATATATATATATATATATATATATTTCTTTAAGAGAATGTGATTTTTTGCTGGTAAATCGTTTATAATAATATTTTATTATTAAAAAGGATATTAGATTAAACATTATTTATTCCATTTGTTAAGGATACTTGTTTAGAAAAGTTTCTGTTTGGACTACAGTTTTTTTTAGAGATTTAGGGCCCAATTGTATATAAAAGAAAAAAAAAACACATTGCCTGTGAAGTAGAGTTGCTGGGCTGATTATAGG